TTGTTTGTTTTGATAATGACGTATTAGTAGGAATTATTAACGATTAAATCAGTTTTGATATTATTAAACTTATGAGTTATGTTTAGTAAATTTTATATATGTATTCATTATTACTTCTTTATTTTTCCAAATAATTCTTCATAAAATTAGTTTTTTTTCGCAATTGTTCGAATTGTTCATATGTATATAAAGTATGTCATAATAAAGTCATGGCAAAAAGCTTTATTGTTATTATTACCTATTATTATTATTAATACACACCTGTATAAATAAGTACATAGTTTTTAAAAAGTTTCCTACAATAAACGAATTTGACTTTAAGAATCATTAATTCTGTAGATAGTCAACGGAATATTAGCAAAAACCTTTAAATAAAAAAATATATTTAAAGATTATAAAGAATAAAAGATATCTATAACCCTAACAAATTTTTTTGTAAAAATATTTTGTACTTTAGCTCATCTTTTATTTTTATCTTTAGTGCTGTGTGCTAGCACTCCGTAAATAAAATAAAAGTATCACGTTGTTAATAATTCCAATTTTATTTATTAAGCTACTTCCAATACATTGTGACACATCCAATATATAACCTAATAAACTAAATTTCGAAGGTTCTTAGCAGTTTGTTTTTTTTTGAAAAAGTTAAAGAACTACCCCAGTTGATTAATTAAATTGATTAAACAAGTTATCTAAATTTTTTTGTCGATGTTATTATCTACTCCATTGCTTGTAACAGGCCACAACTGTTTGAGAAATTATAGAAAGTAATCAAACTTTTTGCTTACTTTTAAATCTATTTTTCGCCAATGTCTTCTTCAAATCTGGAGTAAGTGTCTCCAGCAGTACTTCAATTTAAAGTTGGAATTTAAAATAATATTTAAAAAGATTTTGAATAGAATTACTCCAGTTATTTAAAACATACATGGGTCTAAAATCAAATTAATTTTCTTTTATTTCTAATTTCTTCAAAATTAGGATTTAATTGAGATTAAGCTTAGTTTGGCAAATGTTATGACTACAATTCAAAATCTAATTTGACAAATTACAATTGCTGACGAAGGAGACGAATCTTTGTGGTTGTAAGACAATAATCTCTTATTTTCAAAAAGCACCACTTATTATTCTGTTAATATTTTGGCCTTACGGAGTCAAAAATATATCAGAATTATACTATATTTATCAGAAACTATAATATTTCTCTCTAATGGAACTGTATTCATTTTTTAATGCCACATTCTTTCATTTCCAGTGTATACATATAGTATTCTATTCACATCTTTTCTAAAGTTACATATCCATGCAGAAACGGTTTTAGATTATAGTAGTATTAAATATATGTAAACACCGCTTCGAAGTAATTACAGGATCCTCCAAAAGCAAAATAGGCAGCTATCTTGTTGACAAACTTTCCATATACAAACGATCTTACAAAATGTTAAAAAAGGATTTAAGTTAGATATTAACTATATTAGCAGTATTACAAACTTTGCTGATATCATGGATCCATCACTTTATCAGCGATTTTATTCATCACATCCGGATTTTTTACCACATTTGTCATATATTAATACGCCATTTTTAGATATTTTAAAATATTATATACAATTATAACTATCTTATCAAACAGTTGTCGTATATGTATGACAATATATATTTTAAAATCTTATTTTAAAATTATTAAAAATGCTTAAAGAATTTTTTATTCTTCATTAATTAGACAGCAGTTGGTTTTGAAATGGATAACCAAGATATTGATTACAAATGTGGAGGTAGTCTTATAAGTGAGAACTTTATCGTAACTGCAGCTCATTGTACAAACATTACCGGGTATGAAGTATAAAACATAAGTTTATAATATATATTTCATCACTAAAATACAAAATAGACAATCTCCAATTCAAGTACGCATAGGTGACTTAAACCTAAAAGCAGATGAAAATAATGTAGAACCACAAACACTTAGAATCAGAAACATATACATTCATCCCAGCTATCGTTCAACTTCATATTACAATGATATAGCTTTACTTGAACTAGAAGAAGATGTAGAGTAAGTGGAATAATTCTTCTTCAATTATATGTAGACAAATTATTTAAATCATGTATTTAAATTATTTCCAGATTTACAGAATTTGTGCGACCCATACATCTTTGGGTTAATGAAAGTATACCATATACTATTGCATTTGCAATGGGCTATGGAGCGACTGCTTTTGGAAAAGAGCGTACGAATCGTTTAACTGATTTGAATATGACAATTATATCGAATGATGAGTGCAATCGTGTGATGCCCGCATTACCAGAAACAGCGTCTGGTATAATTTCCAGTCAAATTTGTGCACAGGATAAATTAATGAATCGCGATACTTGCCAAGTAAGTTTAATTCATTTTTACTCAAATGTTTTTTAAAAGCGATACATGTATACTTATAGGGTGACTCTGGTGGTCCATTGCAATTAAATGTACAAGGACGACGACGTAGAAAGCGTAAGCATTTTTATTTAATCGGTATAACTTCATATGGTTTAGCTTGTCGCAGTGGCAATCCAAGCGTGCATACGAGAATCTCATCATATCTAGATTGGATTGAAAGCATTGTTTGGAGAAATGAATAGTTATTTAAAATAATTTTTATAAAAATAATATATAAATATATTTATTTTTGTTAATAATTATGCGTAGTTTTATTAAATAATTATATTTTGTATTTTGGCCACACAATTGTCTCAATCCATTCCAAATACTCTGAAACACGTGTATAAATGCCCGGAGCATCTCCAGCACAGTTTTGTCCAAATGATGTTATGCCGGCAACGTGAGGTATGAACCTGCCATTAATATTTACTGTCAAAACCACTGGTCCACCAGAATCCCCCTTACAATAAAAAAAACAAATATTAATAATAGATTATATTCCTTTTCTATAGATCCTTTTATATATTTTTTAATTAAACAACTAAATTATTTTACCTGACAAGTATCCCTTGATTTTAATGGATCCAATGCGCACATTTGTGAGCTTATCACTCCAAACGGCACAAAATCGTCGTGTTCATAGAAATGCTGACAGTTTTCATTTGATGGAACAAAGAGATATGCCTTCAAAAGTTCATCAGATTTGTTCCCAGCTACGAAAAAATAAAATATATGATATGTCTTACTATGCATTGACTACAATGAATTTGAAATAGGTCTTACCAAAACTTGTATGTCCATAACCAATTGCAGTGAGATTTTTAAGATATAATTCTTGGTTACTACATAAACACGCCTTATCGTAACTATTAAGAATTTTATTTAAAATGAATTTGTTGTATTATGATATACCACTTAGTTTATCATACTTACTAAATCTGTTCTTTTAACTTTATCAATGCAATATCATTATATGCCAATACTGGATTGTATTCTGGATGAATAATTACTTTTGCAATATCATAAATTTTTTCCTTAACGTCATTTAAATTAGCACCACCGGGTAGTACTACAACTGGTTCTAAGCTAAAATAAATATTATTTATTAACGATAATACATATAAATTTCTAAAAAGAATATACAAAAACAAACAAACCTTAGGCAGTTATATAAAATTCTTATAAAATTCATAGAATCATAAAAAAGATACAAAATCAACACGACGGATGCTGTGTTTCGTCACATCATTCACCAAATTTTCAATTGCACTTAAAACTAACATTATGTTTTTTTTTCTAATGCTCTAGTCTAATGCTCTGGGTGCAATAAGAAAGAAATCAATCATTATTTGCGGAGTACTTGCGGAGACCTCTATTAATTTCACTTCATGCTATATGTGACAATTCAAAAACTATTCGATAAGTGATGAACACCCCTCTCTCAAGTAGCTCACTCTTCCACAGATATACAACAGTTTATTCCAGAAGAATCTTATAAACTAAGGCTATTTTAATTAATATTATTCGTTCTGTTTTATGAATATAAAGGTTTTTTATGTTTTAAGCCTTAAGTATTACATTTAATAGTTAAGTGATACTATGCGCAATATTTAATAAAATGGATTTACTTGTTATTTAAATTTCTTAGAGTTTTCATTATTTCACTTTTAAATTAAATTCAAAACTTGTACGTCTTCCCAACATTTGTAGATTCCAACAAATTGCAAATAGTCAGTTCAAGCTAAAGGAAAATTGCCAATTGGTTTTTCTCCAAACTGCATGATACAATAAATGTACTATAATACAATATATGAACCTATATATTTCTTTTTACATCTAGTGCTTAAGTGAACATATTCCGAATGGAGTCCAGCAAGGTAACGAAATGCTTTGTAATTAAGCCTGACGATAGACAAGCGAAATAATGAGACAAAATATAAGAACACTAAGACCACATGACCACTATGGGCATCATTATAAATTCAACATGTTAGTCATGTATCGAATGGGCATGTAATATAAATCACTTCATCTTCATCTGCCTAACATTTGCAAGAACTAGATTAAGATTGTTTGGTTATGATGTCTTGAGCATGTATAATGCTCTCACTCCTTCTCTCTCTCGGTTACTCTTTCCCGCTCTTACTCTACCCCTAACTTCTTTACTTCATTAAAGAAACTAACAAACTCGAGTTAGAATAGCTAAATGTATTACTTAATTTTTTATTTGCTTTTTCCTACACTCAAGATAAAAAACCAAGTTCATTATATTGGCTTATCTTAATTTTTATCTACATTAAGATTAGAGTATGTTTTTTTTCAATTAAAATCAACTTACCCATTGATGTTAGCACAATGTGCAGCGGTTAAAACGTAATAATTATCGATTAATACACCTCCGCATTTGTAATCATATTTATTATCCTCAAAAGTTTTCCAACCAAGTGCTATCTAATAATTGGTAATATTCAGTATATACGAATATAGCAGCTTGGATCAAATATAATGTATAAGGTCAAATAATAAAGTTTCTACTTACCATATAAGGGAATTCCTTATAATATGTTTTGAGTCCATTTACTATATATTGAACTTCGGGATAAAACTCGTAACAAGCTATTAAATTAGTGAAATTTATGAATTGTAGTGTTTATATTGAATAATACACAATACCTCTGACAGCAGGACGTTCTCTATTGCAACATATATATTGGTCACCAGGTGGAGAAAAGCATATTTTTAATTCCTCATTTGGATAATCAAAATTAAATGGACAATCTCGAACAATAGTGCAAACACCTTTAGTTCCATTTGAGAAGGTGCACTTCTGTTGCGAGAAAAATCCGGGAAATGTTATCTTACTGTTTGCATTGACTTTAAAAAAAAATACGTGTTCTTTATAAGAATTTCATTTTAACTTCAATTACTTTACACTTCAACATACCAATAATTAAAATTTGCTTCAAGATAAATGCATAAAAGAGCACAGTTCTATTTAATATTTTCTTCATTGCAAAAATTAAATTAAAACATAATATATAAAATTTTATTAAGACCTTAGAACTTAGCTAAACAAAGTTTGTTTCTTGACTAATTTCATTGATGAAATGTATTTTTAAACTGAAAACATGTTTCTTCTTCTTTAGTTTTTTATTTATTTATTTTATAAGTTTTGCAATACGCGCTTGAAAACAAGTTTGGTTAAAAAAAAATTTTTTTTATTTCGAATTAACAGCACAAAATTCACCAATTTTATTTATTTTAGTAAGATTTATCATTAAAGCAATAAATAGTTTTTTTAGTTATATCTAAGTTAAATATATTATACGCTTAATTAGCTAATTGGGCCAAACAGTAGTTTCAATCCAGTCAATATACTCCGATACTCGAGTGTATACACCTGGTGGCTCACCAGCACAGCCCTGTCCAAACGAAGTAATGCCTACTACGTAAGGTACATATCTGCTTTCTAACATTGCATGTATTAAAATTGGACCACCGGAATCACCCTAGAAGAATATAGTACATCGAAAAAAAAATTATTACATTTGTTACTATTACATATCATAATAAATTTAAAATTAGCTTTTGCTTTAGAGATACAAGTTTCAATCCAAATCTTAGCATTTCATTAAATTAATTATACTTTCATAATACCATATTTATAATATAGAAATAATGATTGGAATTAGCTTATGATATATATGAATAGTAGCATTATTGAATAATTACTGAAATTAGCTTACGATAGCTGTGGAAAATAGCATTATTAAAAATAAGTTGACGTTTCAAAAACTATATAGATATTATTTATAGCTTCACTACTCTGTAACTCCAACATTTCTAAATTTAGTTGAATTCGCACAACATGAGAGTAACGTGTTTAACCTTAAGAAGTTATTTTTAAAATTAAAGGAATAAATAGAGTTTTGTTTAGCACTGGGGACTAAATCCCAAAATCTTCAATGATAACTCTACACAAAATTTACTAAAGACAAACTAAAATATCGCAATCACACCAAAAACTATTTAACAATCATTAATCATTATCCAAAATTTAAGGCTTTTATTTTATGGTTCACGAGCAATAAATTATGTGTACCGATTGATGTATATATATACATCAATATATGTATGAATATCTAAAACATCAGCTTTGTTTGTTCATTCATTAAATAAAAATATTAGTTTTTCTATTCTATCTATTCATAAACAAGGAGATATAAAAAAAATGACTCAGATTTAATCAAATTTGCTTACATATATGTTACATATATATATGATTTATTAAAATAAAGCTCCATCAAATAAATTCTAGGGCTGAACATACAGCTGTTATATTGCCATATATTTATTATTAGTGGTATTTGAGAACATTTATTAGTTTCTACATAATATTTGAACTGCAAAAGTTAGAAATCTGTCAAAATCTATTAAATTTGAACCATGGATCCGTTTATTAATACACTAAACTCACCCACACTTAATAGACATGATTCAAATTAAGACTGTACTTTATTTTTGTGGATGATTCATAAACAACGATTATGCTTAGTGTGTTATTAATTATAACTAACGTATAAACTATAGCTATATAAACTAACTCTATTATTGTAAATTGTTGTTGTTTCAAATTTTAACACTCAATACCTGATACTCGCAATGCAAAAATTATATATGGACAATTAAACCAATATGGCTGCATCGATATAATTTTTTTTTTTTTTTTTTGTTATGGAACACAAATTTCTAGATTAAAAATTATGATATTTTAAAAATATTCTAACATTCTTCTTCGTAGTATTAATCACATTAGATTGCATAAGTTATTAACTAACCTGGCATGTATCCCTAATATTTTCAGGATCTTTTGCACAAATTTGTTGATCAGTAATACCTTTTGGTATATTATGTTCATCATCATAATGTTTTTGACAGTCCTTTTTAGAATGAACAGTTAAATATGCTTTTAAAAGATGAGAAGATGGGGAACCACCTATAAGAAGATCTCATATATTAAGAAATATTTATTTAACCTTATGGAACCTACCAAACCGCGTGTGTCCATAACCGATTGCAGTAACATTGGTTTTACTTAGAGCAAAAGAATTCCAGAGGCAGGCTTTATCAGAACCGCTTGAAGAAATTGAAAATATTATATATAAAATTTATAAAATTAAAAATTAATGTATTTTAATTTACATTCTAATTCGTTACAAAGTAAATATTTAATCAATTAATTAAAAATGATGTGTTATATAAATTAATATAACATTAATGAGCATAATCATAATCTATTGAAAACGTTTGAATTACAAGTTAATCAAGTTCTTAAGTAAAAAAGTTTTATGTCATACTTACTAAACTGATTTCTTTAGTTTTAATAATGCAATATCATTGTAAGCAAAATTAGGATCGTAAGCTGGATGCGGTATTACTTCAGAGATTATATGTTTTGTATAATTATCTTCACTCAAATTCACACCACCAAGAACAACAACTGAAGGTGGATCACTACAAAAATTAAAACAAATTAAAAATATAAATTAAATAAAATCATATAAAATAAAGTGACATTTAATTGTACAAACTTATATTAAACAAAATCAGTTCAAATAAATTAAAAAAATATAAGACACAATTGAAAAGTTTTTAAAAATAGAAAATACGTTCAAAACTATTTAATTCAATTAATTAAATAATGTTAAATAAATTATTTTAACTTGAATTAAAAAATTAAATGACAATATACCATACATATATAAAAATATTTATCATTAATTAAAATAACATTGAAAAATTATATAAATAAAATACAATAATGTATGTTATTTAGTGTCAGCTCTTGTAATTGATCAAAATCGTAAAAAAAACGGGGCTCCTAAAATGTTGATTCGCCGCCGTGCATTAGCTGGGCAAAAACATAGTAGATGAGAGGCACTCTCATCGTCTTCCCCACAGCTACGACAGTTTAATCTGCTAGCATGATTCTCTAGTTTACAGTGACCTGTTAGTAAACCTATCAAAAAACAAAATTCTCTACGGGGTATCTCAATAAGAATTTAAATTTCTTTTATCGGAACTTGGCCAGATTGCACACAGATGACTACAAATCTTTGAGTCTTCCCATGTTTTATTTAAAATTTCAGCACAGAAAGAACTCAGTAGCAGTTTGCATAACGTTAGCGAAATGCTCAGATTACTTAGATGTTCCGAGTGAGCTACTGAAGCCCCCTTTCTGGCTAGCGCGTCTGCTCTGCAATTGCTGACGATCATATAAAATAAGTTAAATAAAATAAAATAAAACAATACTAAATAAAACCAAATGAAAATAAAATCCGATCAATTGAAATAAGTAACAATAATTAACACTTCAATATTTGTATTAAAAAAAAATAAAATAAACTTATATTAAATAATATATATAAATTAATATAATATAATAGAAAAAATTTGAATGAATTAAGCAAATGATAAGATAAGATTAGATAAAATTAAAACAAAAAGATATGAAATTATTATTATAATTAATATATATACATATCAGTATAATGATATGAAATAAAATTATAGAATAGTTAAAAATCAACATAACATAAAAATATAAAATGAAATAAATAAAATAATTAAACTATAATTTTCATTAAAAAAAATTATTGAACTAATATATGTACAATATTAGTACAATATTAAATAATACTAATGCAATGTTATGTAAATAAAACCAAATTAAATAAGATAGTCAGTCAAAAATTCAATTAATTAAAATAATATAAAATTAATTTTTGTTGATGTAGTTCACTACTGTCTTAAAAACCTCTTTATAAAATATATAACATCCTAAAATAATATAATAACATAACATTAAATCAAATAAAGTCAAAGAATATAATAAATGAATTACCCATTGAAATCAGTGCAATGTGCCGCAGTTAAAATATAATCATTTGAGATCATGACACCGCCACATCTGTAATCAGTAATATTTGTCACTTGTGATTCCCAACCAACTGCTGCCTTCAAAAAATTATAAAGAAAAATTTGTTTACTTCTGCAAATTTAGATATGTACGTATGTGAAACGTATAAGTAAAATAAATAAAAACAATAATCACACCATATACGGGAACTCAGCACGTTGTGTCATAATACCCATAACCATATCAAAGCGCATTGGATAAAAATCTTTACATTCTAAAAAGTATTACGATATACGAATTATTAAATATTGAACCAACCAAATTTTTTGTTTATGTTTGTACCTCTTGTAGATTTACGTTCTTTGAGATTGTAAAAAGGACTATCACTACAGCAAACAAACTGTTCCGATCTTTGAAAGTAGCAGGTTTTCACTTCATCATTTCTTGCAGTAAATGCATGTGGACATAATTTTATATTTAGACAAACTCCGTCACTGCCATCAAAAGCTTTGCATTCGTCTGGGAAGTCATCAATTTGGGGAAATAATATTTTCGAACTAATAGCTAAATAGAATAGCTATTTTAGTGATCTTTGGTAGTTAAATAATGTCCTTCTAGACAAACCTTCTTGTATTACAAATACGAAACAAAAAATTATTAAATCACTTGACCACATTTGTAAAATCTTATTTACTTTCTTTATAATACAAGCAGTCAAAACTTAATCAAAGCAGCAATAAAAAACAAATAAAATTAATTTAATTTAATTAAATAGAATTCATCTTATCACTAACGATGCTCATTTTATACTAACATTACAGATTAAAAATACTTAAGTGGTTTCCAAATGAAAACAAAAAATTTTAATTCACAGCGAATGAAAATGCATTTGATTATCATCAAGATTTATTTTTGAAGATTAAACATCTAAAATCAAGTTCAGATACATTTTCCCCAAAAATTGTGTAAAACCAAATGTATAAAATTACTTTTATTTTGTTGTTGTATTCTGCATATAGAAAAAGTAAAGTAAAATCTTCTAATTTTTTACTACGCAAAGAAATTTTAAAAGCAGTATTATACTTATCAATAAAACTTGTCTTACTATAAAAATAAAGCTTTATTGAGCTTTCTATAAAAATATTAACCTTTTATTGAGCTTTTTATAGGAAAAGCTTTATAATAAAGTTTAAAATAAAAAATTTTTGCATTAATATACATATAAAAGAAAACTTTTATATTGGTTTGATATAATGCTGTGCTTTTATTTCTTTTTCTTTATAACATTTATTTATGTTATGTTATGTTATGTTAGATATAGAATACATCTGTTTACAAATGTATATATATATATTTATATATATATATACTGTAAGATGAGGTTAGGGTATCATGGTGATGCTAGAAATATTCTTATATTTGTTAGCTACATTTCCAAGAGCTTCATATAATATCTACCACAAGTTACTATTCCATGGATGGTCTGGGTCAATAACAAGACATATATAAAACACTTTCTTCAACTTTTTCACAGTTTTGACAAGAATACTCAATTATTCAATTTTCTGGTTTAGTTTCGTGACTAACAGTAACCCATCAGAATACCCACTAGTGACTAGTTTTCGTACATAAAAGTATTTGCATATCGTCCAACCTTCCCATCTTTTACTTACATGTTTAATATTTGTATATTAAAATTTTAGTAATTAATTCCAGAATGCTGGCGAATAATAACATTATTAAATTATTCAAATGTGTTCCTAAAATACCAACGAAGGTCTGATTTCTGCATAAATATGACATAAAATATACATAAAGTTACACTAAAATATTGCACTATTTCGGCAACATAGAAAAATGATTCACATTTTATGCATTACTGCTTTTTTTCATTTTACACGATAGACTAAAAATAGTTGCCATAAATTCAAAACTCCAGCATACGTTAAATATAATACATATAATATCTAATAACTAACTTATTTAGGAATGGCAATACATAGAGTTTAGTTGATTTATTTTATACGGTTTATTGAAACAAAAAACTGTTTTATCTAACAAATTTAATTATGTTTTTAAGTAATTGTTTTAACATAAACTCAACTCTACCAGACAATTGCTAGGATCCAATCCAAGAACTCTGACACGCGCATATAAACACCAGGCGATTCACCACCACAACCATGCCCAACGGAAGTTATACCTATAACATAAGGTCGTATATCCGACATCATTCGTACTTTTGCTATAAGCGGACCACCAGAATCGCCCTAAAGATATAATTATTATTATAAATAATTATATAATTATGTATATAATAAATAATCATATAAAATTAAAAATAATTATTTTTTATAAATTAATTGTTAAAATGATGCTTGGACACAAATCTCTTAAAACTATTTGTTATTCAATTCTATAAGTTAAAGATATTGAAACATTTTTAAGTCAAAACGGTTTTTTTTTCTTGATTCTTAAATAAATTCTTTTAATGATGTTATAAATAAATAGGTAAATATGTTATTTACCTGACAAGCATCTCGTTTATTTTCAGGGTCTTTCGCACAAATTTGTTGATCAAGAATACCTTTTGGTAAATTGTCTTCATCTATATAAAAACTTTGGCAATCCTTATTTGGCATAATAGCTAAGTCTGCCTTTAACAGATGTGGAGATTGAGTTCCAACTATAAAAATATTCACATATAGCATTATCTTGTATTTATAACAAACATTTAAATATTGAAATCTACCAAAGCGTGTATTTCCATAGCCGATCACAGTCACAGTTTTCACATCAATGTTAAAAGTGGTCCAAAGACAAGCTATTGGGAAACGACTTTAAGCAAAATAATTTAATAAAAATCTGTTTTAAAGTTCAACACATTTTTAAATGATTCAATTAAATTCATATTTTAATCACTAAGCAAATAATTATTTTGTCAAACACTCACAAATATATACTTTCTACTATTCTTAGCAATGCTACATCGTTATAAGAAAATTCCGGATCATACAATGGATGCGGTATTACTTTAGTGATATCAAAATTTGTAAATTTATTGTCAGTTAAATCTGCACCACCAACACCAACCACTGAAGGTGGATGACTAAAATAAATTAAACAAGAGTTTCTGATAGAAATGAATAATTAATGGTTTGGAAAGAATTACCCATTAAATTCTGTACAATGTGCCGCAGTTAGGACGAATTGAGGTGAGATTAAGACTCCTCCGCATCTATAATCTGTACTGTTACCTTCATTTGATTTCCAGCCAAGTGCTGCCTACGAAGATTTAAAAAAATTACATAAACTCATTCAATCAATATTTTTAAGTAACTATTAAGGCGATTACTAATACTTGTACGTATTAATAATAATTATGTACGATTGTTAAAAATAATTGTTAATACAACCAATTTTAACAAAAAGTGCTTTGATGTTCACCAGGCTTACGTAGTTTACTTAGCACAGAGAAATGATAAAAAAATTACTATTATAAACTTGTATTAAAGTTTTTTATTATACTTTTTAAAAAAAATCTAAAATACAGATATTTCGGCATACTTCAACAAAAAAAGGTTTCTTTTCTTTACTTATGTAAATTGAGGATGACCTACGAAGCCCAAAATATTTGTGTTATTAATATTTAAAACAAAAAAATTAATAAGTGTAATTTTATTATCATTTTAATGTGTTAAATAAGCGTCTTAAACCCGATGAGAATCAAAAAAAAATTTATATAAATAAATGTATAACCATGTATAGAAACTCCTTGGGTTTAGTCATTGAACCATAAACAACATACGCGTAGTTCGGATAAAAGTCTTCGCACTCTATTAATAATCAAATTTCTTTTATACATAACATATTACCCGATTCTAAAAAATATATTTACGTATTAAAGCTCTATTCTTCTTAAGTCTTTTCAATTCATCCCCTCCAAAATCTTTGCAGCAAACAAAATGCTCTGACCGCAAAAAGTAGCATGTTTTCACTTCACTGTTTGGTACAGTCAAAGCTGTAGCACAACTTTTAATGTTCACGCAAAGACCCCAGATATTATTATCAATTTTACAGCTCTGTGGAAAATCATCAACGATTGGAAATATTATTTTGGAGGCAGAAACTAAATAGAATTCAACATATTTTTTATTCATTGATCTTTAGAAGAATTCCATCAAACAAACCTCCGCATATTACAAAAACCAAAATAAAATATAATAAATCAGTTAATCTCATTTTTAATAAATGCAATTTTCGTTCTGTTAAAACTAAATGACACTATTTCATAAAAATTCAAAATTAATAAAAATGTTTAAAAAATATAATTAAAAAACTGAACAAAATTCTACTTATCACGCAAAATGATTATTTACTACTGGTGTTATAAATCTCTTAGAATTTCATATGCTTTTCAAATTGATAAATAAATTATATTTTAAAAAGTTGTGCAGAATAATACACATTCACCGCGGAGAACAGATAATTTGAGACTTATAACGCCATGCATTTACTACAAATCCTCTCATATTCTTTGTCTTTTAAAAGATTCTATTCAACTTCTTGAATGAAATTCGTACCTAAAAATTGGTTATCGTTGAGACCTACGAATGAGGTACCAAGATAATCTTTCTCCTAAACGTATGGAGGCAGATCTTTTAAACTGATATTAAAGCTCTGAAAAGTACTCTGCTAGTTCTTTTTTTATTAATTTAAATGGATAGTTTATTTTATATATATTTCAGCAATATAATTTAATGAGCATTATACAACATAACCTTATAATACTTATGTTGCATTTATAATAATTTATTTAATATACATGTATTAACTATATGGTGAACTATGATTTTTTAAAGATATTTAAAATTTTACCCTTTACTCGTTACGGGAATAATATAAGATAAACACTTATAAAGAGAACAACGGACCGATCACTCATTGTACCTGAAGCGTAAACCGATTCCCAGAATGGCTATAAGAAATGAAAACCTGAACCCAAACTTGATGACGAAAAAAGTCACTAAGTCCCTTTTATAAGTTTTAAGTTTATGTATTCAAAACTTGTATTAATTCTTTATTAGAGTTTCATTAATATACTTTATTAAATTTACTGCTGTTGAATTGAATTTTCAACAATATTTTCATTTCATTTAAATTTGAATGCGATAATTTACATTTTCCTAATTTAAATTAAAATAATTTTAACTTAAAATACATTTAACTTAAAATATATTTTATTTTAGTATGCACATTAACGTGAAAAAATGAATTATAAGAAATGCACATATAAAAAAAAAATTTTTTTGTTATAAAATTGGAACGAAAGCTTCATAAAGCTTTTAATGGGAAAAGTACATTTTTAAAATATCTATACCATAAAAAAATTTCCTTGTTTTTATTAAGTTACAATTCAATGAAAACCGCATATAATAAATAAATTTTTACATAAACATATACTGAGCAATGATATATGGGTTATCTGATATTTCTGTGCCAAATATAAAGTTATAGAATACTACCTTGAGGTAGTACTAGAAAAACTTAAAACTATCAGGAACTCAAAATTGATTTCGAGCTGATCAACATTTCAAATTTTCAAGCTGTATTGTTAAAGAAGCCATAA